GGCCCTTACTGGATGAGGGAGGTAACCTAGTGACAGATGATGTGGGAAAAGCTGAAGTACTCAATGCTTTCTTTGCCTGTCTTTGCGGACAAGGTTGGCTCCCAGACAAATGCACTAGGCAATGCAGTATGAGATGGAGATAGACAGCCCTTGGTGGGGAAAGACCAGGTTAGGAACTATTAGAAAAGCTAAACACACACAAAACCATGGGCCCAGATTTAATGCATCTGAGGGTGCTGAGGAAGTTGGCAAATGTCATTGAGGAGCCTTTGGCCATTATCTTTGAAAACTCGTGGAGATCGGGAGAGATCCTGGATGATTGGGAAAAGGCAAATGTAGTGCCCATCTTCAAAAATGGAAGAAGGACAATCCAGGGAACTACAGACCAGTCAGCCTCACCTCAGTCCCCAGAAAAATCATGGAAGGGATCCTAAAGGAATCCATTTTGAAGCACTTGGAAGAGGGGAAAGTGATCAGGAATAGCCAACATGGATTCACAAAGGGCAAGTCATGCTTGACCAATCTGATTAGCTTCTATGATGAGATAACTGGCTCTGGGGACATGGAGAAGTCGGTGGATGTGATACACCTTGACTTTAGCAAAGCTTTTGATATGGTCTCCCACAGTATTCTTGCCAGCAAGTTAAAGAAGTATGGATTGGATAAATGGACTATAAGGTGGAAAGAAAACTGGCTAGATTGTTGGGCTCAAAGGGTAGCCATTGATCAATGGCTCGATGTCAGGTTGGCGGTCAGTTTCAAGCAAGAGTGCCCCAAGGATCGGTTCTAGGGCCAGTTTTATTCAATATCTTTATTAATGACCTGGATGAGGGGATGGATTGCACCCTCAGCAAGTTCATAGCTGACACTAAGGTAGGGGCAGAGGTAGATAGGCTGAAAGGCAGGGATAGAGTCCAGAGTGACCTAGGCAAATTGGAGTATTGGGCCAAAAGAAATCTGATGAGGTTCAACAAGGACAAGTGCGGAGTCCTGCGTTTGGGATGGAAGAAACCCAAGCACTGTTACAAGATGAGGACTGACTGGCTAAGTAGCAGCTCAGCAAGAAAGGACCTGGGGATGAGAAGCTGAATTAGTCAACAGTGTGCCCTTGTAGCCAAGAAGGCTAATAGCATATTAGAGTACATTAGGAGGAGCATTGCCAGTTAATCTAGAGAAGTTACTATTTCTCTTTATTTGGCATTGGCGAGGCCAAATATGGAGTATTGCATCTAGTACTGGGCCCATTCTTTAGAAACGATCTGGATGCATTGGGGAGGGTCCAGTGGAGGGCAACGAAAATGATTAGGGGACTAAAGCACATGACCTACGAGGAGACGCTGTGGGATTTGGACTTCTTTAGTCTGCAGAAGGGAAGAGTAATAGGGGATTTCATCACAGCCTTCAACTACCTGAGGGAGGGGGGAGGGCAAAGAGGATGGAGAGAGGCTGTTCTCAGTAGTGACGAATGACAGAACAAGGAGCAATGGTCTTAAGTTGCAGTGGGGGAGGTCTAAGTTGGATATTAGGAAAAACTATTTCACTGGGAGGGAAGGTGAAGGACTGGAATGGGTTGCCTAGAAAAGTGGTGGCTTCTCCATCCTTACAGGGGTTTTAAGTCCCGGGTTGACAAGCCCTGGCTAGGCTGATTTAGTTGGGGTTTGTTCTGTTTTGGGGAGGGGGTTGGACTAGATGACCTACTGAGAAAGCCTCTTCCTTCTTACCTTAATCTGCTATGATAGGGCTGCCTGAGGTCTCTTTCCGCCCTATCGTTCTATGCTTTTAATAGAAAAAGACTTTGGGTATGGGACATTCCCCGCTCTCCCAGCTTCAAAACCTGCGCTGTGTACTGCAGGCCTGTAGCAGTCAGCAATTCTCATGCTAACTGCCTTTGGGTACGTCTAGACTACCGCGTTTTGTCGACGGAAGTTTTGTCGACAGATACTGTCGACAAAACTTCTGTCGACAAAGAGCGTCCTGACACATTGAGTTCTGTCGACAAAGCAAGCTGCTTTGTCGACAGAACTCCGTAGTCTGGATGCAGTGTTACAGGCAATAACACCTTCTGTCGACAGAGTTCTGTTGACAGAAGGTGTTATGCCTCGTAAAATGAGGTTTACCAGCGTCGACAAAGCTGCTGAGTTCTGTCGACGTTATGTCGACAGAACTCAGCGGTAGCATAGACGCTGGTATAGTTTCGTCGACAAAAGTCCACTTTTGTCGACAAAACTAGGTAGTCTAGACACACCCTTTGTTGCCTGGGAGAAGGACACATCTTGGACAAGTGCCGTATCTATAGGTCCTTCCATCTCAGAACCATTAAAGAGTAAAGCATTTGTCTCAGAGCAGTCTAGATGGAGTCTGCAAGACCAGTGGTTGGACTTGGTACTGAGTATTGGTGCCTTGGTGCACAATGCGCCATTGAGGGCTCAACAGCATTTGTTACCCACGGGCCCAGCAAGGCCTGTTTAGGAAGCCGGACAGAGAAAAGTGCCCTCATAAGGACAAGGGCAAGAAGGGTAACCAGCTGGTGGACAGGCTGGAGAAGGCCCAAAAGCCACTGAGCCCTGCTTTCAGGTCACTTTCATCGGTGTTGGAGGTCCATCTCCATGCTGGAGGCCTTCTAGGCTGCACAAGACAGAATTGCCTTGGCGCTACCGCCGCCCCGAGCACTGACTGGACCTAGGCATAGGGGTAAATGATTTTTGGTTTAATAAAACTTGAGAACTATAAAGTTGCATTGTTCTTGAAGTAATTTAAAGCTTGATTGAGCAAAGCACTTACGTGCATGCTTATCTTTGAGCTTGTTGTTGGTCCCAGTGGAGTCAGTGTGCTTATGTGCTTTGAATCAGAGAATTGAGTGTATTTTCAAAACTGGTATGTAGGCTGCCAAATGGTTGCACTAAATGTATTTTTATTTGAATATTCTTGTGTATATTTGGGTCTATTTTTCAGACAAATACAGCTGTATTAATGAAATAAAATACTTTTTTTGGAAGAACGGTTGCTACACAAACAATTATTAATAGAAACCATCAAAATATGTAAACATAAAGTTAGCTAGCTAGGAGAATATATACTTGATTTCTTGAGATCCCTTCCAGATCTACATTACTATGATTCTATGGCCCCGTGCTGAGGCAGAACTAAGTAAACCTTGATCATCCCTGGCAGGTGTTTATTCAGCCTGTCCTTAAAAATCTTCAATTCCACACCTTCTTTTAGAAACTTAGGCCAGTGCTTAAATTTTCTAACTGTAGCATAGTTTTCCAGGTATCTAAATCTCTATTGCTGAAGATTAAGTCCATTGAGTTAAATTCAGTGGACTTGGAGAACAATTGATCACAGTCCTCTTTATAACAGCCCTAAGCACATATAAAGAATGTTATTTGGTTCCCCCCAGTTGTTTTTTTCTCAAGACTAAACATGCACAGTTTTTAATCAGTGCTCATAAGCCTGTTTTTTTTTTTTTTAAACCTTTGTCATTTTTGTTCTTTATACTCTCTAGTTCGTTCATACTTTAGGAAAAATATGGCTTGTAGAGTTAGGCATAGTACTCCAGCTAAGGTCTCACCAGTGCTAAGTTGAGTGGGACAGTTAGCTTCTTAGTCTTGTACAATTTCCTTGCTTGTACTTTGCAGAATCTTAGCCTTTTTTTCATAGAATCATAGAATAATAGGACTGGAAGGGACCTCAAGAGGTCATCGAGTCCAGCCCCCCCGCCCTCAAGGCAGGACCAAGCTCCGTCTACAGCA